GTACTACTTGTGGGGGGTGATGAAGATTTTTTTTTTACACCGATTGCTTTTACACCCATAAAGGCTGTAAAAGCAATCATTTCTCTTCTCTGGCTACATTTCTGCAGCCATTGAGAAATACTGTGATAGCTGTGATTGGTCACAGCTTGTCACATGATACAAGGCTGTTGTGAATAGCCCTGTACCATGTGACTTCGGTGATCATTCACAGATTTCACAAGTAGTAAGCAATGATGTCAGAAGTGAAATCTTGCTTACTACTATTCATGTGATCACTGATTGGCCAATCAGTGATCACATGATCGGGACCTCACACAGAGGTCCCATACAGTGATCAGGACACAGCGGGCACTGAATCACGGTTTATGTACATGGGCCGGACGGGAAGTGGTTAAGTGGTTCCTACATCCAGGTCTCCCTCAACATAGGTGTGGTGCCCAGTTTTCATTTTAGTGATCCCATCGTATTTTTTCTATCACTAATGTACCTAAAAAAGGTTTTATCTCACTATTAGTTTAGCAATTTCCTCCTGTGTTTTTTAGGCTTTGATGATGCTTCTGTGATGCTTTTTGAATCTTTAATAAAGCTTGGCAAATGTGTGTGCTGATTTTTGACTTGTTTAAAAAAGGCCAGTATAACCCCTGATCAGTAGTACATCCAATCAGCAGATCCCCAATTCATTAGTACCCCTGTGTTCAGCAGATCCCCAGCTCATTAGTACCTCTGTATTCAGCAGATTCCATTCTCAGTAGTACCCTAGCTCTGCTGATGCCTCGCTCAGTAGTAAACCCATCTTTTCTGATCCCCCACTCAGTAGTAACCCCCAGCTCTGCTGATCCCCCACTCAGTAGTAACCCTCAGCTCTACTAACCCTCAGCTCTACTAACCCCCACTCGGTAGTAACCCCCAACTCTGCTAAGCCTCCACTCAATAGTAACCCCCAGCTCTGCTAAGCCTCCACTCAGTATTAACCCCCAACTCTGCGAAGCCTCCACTCAGTATTAACCCCCAACTCTGCAAAGCCTCCACTCAGTAGTAACCCCCAGCTCTGCTGATCCCCCACTCAGTAGTAACCCCCAGCTCTGCTAACCCCCACTCAGTAGTAACCCCCCAGCTCTGCTAAGCCTCCACTCAGTAGTAACCCTGGGCTCTGCTAAGCCTTCCACACAGTAGTAAACCCCAGCTCTACTATGCCTCCACTCGGTAGTAAACCCCAGCTCTGCTAATCCTCCAATCAGTAGGAACCCCCAACTCTGCTAACCCCCACTCAGTAGTAAACCCCAGCTCTGCTAAGCCTCCACTCAGTAGTAACGCTGAGCTCTGTTGACTCCTCACTCAGTAGTAACCCTGGGCTCTGCTGATCCCTCAGTCAGTAGTAACCCTGGGCTCTGCTGATCCCTCAGTCAGTAGTAACCCTGGGCTCTGCTGATCCCTCACTCAGTAGTAACCCTGGGCTCTGCTAAGCCTCCACTCAGTAGTAACGCTGAGCTCTGTTGACCCCTCACTCAGTAGTAACCCTGGGCTCTGCTGATCCCTCAGTCAGTAGTAACCCTGGGCTCTGCTGATCCCTCACTCAGTAGTAACCCTGGGCTCTGCTGATCCCTCACTCAGTAGTAAACCCCAGCTCTGCTAAACCTCCACTCAGTAGTAACCCCCAGCTCTGCTAACCCCCACTCAGTAGTAACCCCCAGCTCTACTAAGCCCCCACTCAGTAGTAACCCCCAGCTCTGCTAACCCCCACTCAGTAGTAACCCCCCAGCTCTGCTAAGCCTCCACTCTGTAGTAACCCCCAGCTCTGCTGATCCCTCACTCAGTATTAACTCCAGCTCTGCTAATCCCCCACTCAGTAGTAACCCCCAGCTCTGCTAACCCCCACTCAGTAGTAACCCCCAGCTCTACTAAGCCCCCACTCAGTAGTAACCCCCACCTCTGCTAACCCCCACTCAGTAGTAACCCCCCAGCTCTGCTAAGCCTCCACTCAGTAGTAACCCCCAGCTCTACTAAGCCCCCACTCAGTAGTAACCCCCAGCTCTGCTAACCCCCACTCAGTAGTAACCCCCCAGCTCTGCTAAGCCTCCACTCAGTAGTAACCCCCAGCTCTGCTGATCCCCCACTCAGTAGTAACCCCCAGCTCTGCTGATCCCCCACTCAGTAGTAACCCCAGCTCTGCTGATCCCCCACTCAGTAGTAACCCCCCAGCTCTGCTAAGCCTCCACTCTGTAGTAACCCCCAGCTCTGCTGATCCCTCACTCAGTATTAACTCCAGCTCTGCTGATCCCCCACTCAGTAGTAACCCCCAGCTCTGCTAACCCCCACTCAGTAGTAACCCCCAGCTCTACTAAGCCCCCACTCAGTAGTAACCCCCACCTCTGCTAACCCCCACTCAGTAGTAACCCCCCAGCTCTGCTAAGCCTCCACTCAGTAGTAACCCCCAGCTCTACTAAGCCCCCACTCAGTAGTAACCCCCAGCTCTGCTGCTAACCCCCACTCAGTAGTAACCCCCCAGCTCTGCTAAGCCTCCACTCAGTAGTAACCCCCAGCTCTGCTGATCCCCCACTCAGTAGTAACCCCCAGCTCTGCTGATCCCCCACTCAGTAGTAACCCTGAACTGTGTTGATCCCTCACTCAGTAGTAACCCTGGGTTCTGCTGATCCCTCAGTCAGTAGTAACCCTGGGCTCTGCTGATCCCTCAGTCAGTAGTAACCCTGGGCTCTGCTGATCCCTCAGTCAGTAGTAACCCTGGGCTCTGCTGATCCCTCACTCAGTAGTAACCCTGGGCTCTGCTGATCCCTCACTCAGTAGTAACCCTGGCTCTGCTGATCCCTCACTCAGTAGTAACCCTGGCTCTGCTGATCCCTCACTCAGTAGTAACCCCCAGCTCTGCTAAGCCTCCACTCAGTAGTAACCCCCAGCTCTGCTAAGCCTCCACACAGTAGTAAACCCCAGCTCTGCTATGCCTCCACTCAGTAGTAAACCCCAGCTCTCTGCTAACCCTCCACTCAGTAGTAACCCCCAGCTCTGCTAACCCCCACTCAGTAGTAAACCCCAGCTCTGCTAACCCCCACTCAGTAGTAACCCCCAGCTCTGCTAACCCCCACTCAGTAGTAAACCCCAGCTCTGCTAAGCCTCCACTCAGTAGTAACCCTGAGCTCTGTTGACCCCTCACTCAGTAGTAACCCTGGGCTCTGCTGATACCTCAGTCAGTAGTAACCCTTGCTCTGCTGATACCTCAGTCAGTAGTAACCCTTGGCTCTGCTGATCCCTCACTCAGTAGTAAACCCCAGCTCTGCTAAGCCTCCACTCAGTAGTAACCCCCAGCTCTGCTAACCCCCACTCAGTAGTAACCCTGAACTTTGTTGATCCCTCACTCAGTAGTAACCCCCAGCTCTGCTAACCCCCACTAAGTAGTAACCCTGAACTCTGTTGATCCCTCACTCAGTAGTAACCTTGGGCTCTGTTGATCGCTCAGTCAGTAGTAACCCTGGGCTCTGCTGATCCCTCACTCAGTAGTAACCTCCAGCTCTGCTAAGCCTCCACTCAGTAGTAACCCCCAGCTCTGCTGATCCCTCGCTCAGTAGTAATCCCAGCTCTGCTGATCCCTCACTCAGTATTAACTCCAGCTCTACTAAGCCCCCACTCAGTAGTAACCCCGAGCTCTGCTAACCCCCACTCGGTTGTAACCCCGAGCTCTGCTAACCCCCATTCAGTAGTAACCCTGGGCTCTGCTGATCCCTCACTCAATAGTAACCCTGAGCTCTGCTGATCCCCCACTCAGTAGTAACCCCCCAGCTCTGCTAAGCCTCCACTCACTCAGTAGTAACCCCCAACTCTAAGCCTTCACACAGTATTAAACCCCAGCTCTGCTATGCCTCTCACTCAGTAGTAACCCCCAGCTCTGCTAACCCCGACTCAGTAGTAACCCCAGCTCTGCTGATCCCCCACTCAGTAGTAACCCCCAGCTCTGCTGATCCCCTACTCGGTATTAACCCCAGATCTGCTGATCCCTCACTCAGTATTAACCCCAGATCTGCTGATCCCTCACTCAGTAGAATGCCCCAGCTCCACTGATCCCTCACTCAGTAGTAACCCCCAGCTCTGCTGTTCCTCTGGTTTGCTGATCCTCCTTTCTCTGGTCCCCGCTCACCTCACACTATATTGTGCTCATGTTGTGACATTGCTCACTCTTCTCCTGGCCTTTCTCCTGCTCTTGTTCCCCAGCTCTCCTGATCCTCTGACACTCAGTCCTCCCTTTCTGGTACCCATCCACCTTCCACTATAGCCTTGCCATGTTACACACCACATGTGACGCCTGCTAGTTGCTTCACTCCAGTCAGACCCAGCTCACCTTCCCACCGCTCCATGCTGCACACCAGATGTGACATCTGCACCAGACACTCCCAGAATATAGACACAGGAATCAGAAGTGAGTGCTGGTGACATCTTTCTGGTTGCTTGTTGGTTTCCCCGTGCATCCCGGGATATCTCATACCTGCAATACCTCCAAACCAAAAGCTGAATAAAAGCTGCAGGCACTGTTAGCGAGATTTGTCACAGACTTCTATGGAGGCTTTGGAGACACTTTGAAGCACCAAGAAAGTTACACGGGGGATAATTATTGAAGCAAAGCAAACACAACATGTGAACAGGACTGTAAGGGGACCATTTTATTTAATGACAGCGGCTGTGATTGGCATTGAGAGCTTTATAAAAGAATGCCCAATGCCACATTCTGAAGCCAAAGTAAACGAGCCCAACGTTCACACAGAATAAATAAATATACACTGATTTGTTTTTGTTTTTTTAACCAAAGAAATGTAGCAGTATATATGGAGTATATCTGAGGTGTATATCAGGGTGTGCTTCTTCCCCACATGAGAGCTGGGATGTCCAGCAACATTCATCTAGAAGACATTTCCCGCACTCAAGGCACTAATACACCTTCAGAGTTCTGTGAGATCTCTGATGTCTACAAAGACTGGATGTTGTTGAAAAACATTTCCCGCACTCAGGACAGGAATACGGCTTCTCCCCCGTGTGAGATCTCTGATGTGTGACAAGTACTGATTTTTTAACAAAACATTTTCCACACTCAGGACAGGAATACGGCTTCTCCCCCGTGTGAGATCTCTGATGTGTGAAAAGACTGGACTTGTCTGAAAAACATTTCCCGCACTCAGAACATAAAAATGGCTTTTCCTCCATGTGAAATCTCTGATGTCTGTAAAGACTGGATTTCTCTGAAAAACATTTTCCACACTCAGGACAGGAATGCGGCTTCTCCCCTGTGTGAGATCTCTGATGTTTGTAAAAACTGGACTTGTCTGAAAAACATTTCCCACACTCAGGACAGGAAAACGGCTTCTCCCCTGTGTGAGATCTCTGATGTGTGACAAGTACTGATTTTTTAACAAAATGTTTTCCACACTCAGGACAGGAATACGGCTTCTCCCCCGTGTGAGATCTCTGATGTGTGAAAAGACTGGACTTGTCTGAAAAACATTTCCTGCACTCAGAACATGAAAAAGGCTTCTCCCCCCCACGTGAGATCTCTGATGTCTGTAAAGACGGGATTTCTCTGAAAAACATTTTCCACACTCAGGACAGGAATGCGGCTTCTCTCCCGTGTGAGATCTCTGATGTTTGTAAAAATTAGACTTATCTGAAAAACATTTCCCACACTCAGGACAGGAATATGGCTTTTCCCCCGTGTGAGATCTCTGATGTGTGACAAGTACTGATTTTTTAACAAAACATCTTCCACACTCAAGACAGGAATACGGCTTCTCCCCCGTGTGAGATCTCTGATGTGTGAAAAGACTGGACTTGTCTGAAAAACATCTCTCGCACTCAGAACATGAAAATGGCTTTTTCTCCATGTGAAATCTCTGATGTCTGTAAAGACTGGATTTCTCTGAAAAACATTTTCCACACTCAGGACAGGAATGCGGCTTCTCCCCCGTGTGAGATCTCTGATGTTTGTAAAAACTGGACTCATCTGAAAAACATTTCCCACACTCAGGACAGGAATACGGCTTCTCCCCCGTGTGAGATCTCTGATGTGTGACAAGTACTGATTTTTTAACAAAACATTTCCCACACTCAGGACAGGAATACGGCTTCTCCCCCCCTGTGAGATCTCTGATGTGTGAAAAGACTGGACTTGTCTGAAAAAAATTTCCTGCACTCAGAACATGAAAAAGGCTTCTCCCCCACGTGAGATCTCTGATGTCTGTAAAGACGAGATTTCGCTAAAAAACATTTTCCACACTCAGGACAGGAATGCGGCTTCTCCCCTGTGTGAGATCTCTGATGTGTGTAAAAGTTGGACTTATCTGAAAAACATTTCCCACACTCAGGACAGGAATACGGCTTCTCCCCCGTGTGAGATCTCTGATGTGTGACAAGTACTGATTTTTTAACAAAACATTTCCCACACTCAGTACAGGAGAACCTCTTCCCTGTTGGAGGCCGGCCCGGTCCCGCACAGTCTGAGGTTCCTCAGGATACGAGGAATCCGATGGTCCATCTACACTGGGTGGTGCACGATGGCCATTGGAGGGAGCCGGGTTTTCTCCTGGACTATACTGTGTGATGTCCTCATCTTCTACTTTCCAGTCTGGAGACAAAGTGAGACAATCCTCGGAGGTTTTCCTCATCTCCCGGCCATGGACTAAAATACAAAGACAAAGAGGATTACTAGACAGGAGCTGATTGGTTCCCCCAAACCAGGACTCCGCCCACATCAGGCAGCTTGGTCTCTGAGGAGCTTACAATTCCATCCTCAAGGGAACTAGGAAATGGCTCCTCTGACCTCCTACTAGGTCATTTCTTTATTCATGGACCTTAGTCAGAGAGTGAGGAAACAACCAGAACTGTCTTTTATAGGAGGGACAGTGATAAGGGGATTATAGGACGAGGGTCCCCACCCCCTCTATCACTCATCGCCATCTTCCCAACACAAGAAGTACTACACTTCCTTATTTACTCCATGATTTAGTCATGAAGAACAGCGGGGCTGAGCCCCACCAGAGGTCAGAGAGTGAGGATGGGGGGAGAACAACCAAGATGAAGACTGGACTGATCCTGAAGACAAACAGCATTGGGTTATACAGTGTAAGGGTCAAGACTCATATGTTTGGTATTCAGTGGACACTTAAATGTTTACTGTAGACAAGTTGCAGAGGTCCCACACCGCTGCCTCCCATCTGTTAAGACTGCACTCAGTGACTTAGGTCTGAGACATACAGACATATCCCTCCATCCGGCACAGCAAACAAAAGAGTAAGTAACCCTGGGAGAATTGTTCTGTCAGAGATTCTACCCAAGCATGAGGAAGAGGACCCACAGAACAGGTCCCAGATAACTCAAAACCTATGCTGAAATGAACATTTTGCTGCCAGCTGAACCCCAGAACCTCCATAAATCCAGTCTAGATACATAAATTGTGTCTGCAGCACAGAGAAGGAAGATTATCCGAGAGAAATCCAGGAATACAGGACGGGGAACACAGCTCAGGAAAGTGACCAGGGGATTACAGGCTGATATCACCCAGTCCCCGCCCTACTCTGGACCAATCAGTGAGCAGTATGGGTGGAGGAATGGATTTAGTGTTCATGACCCACCTGTGCTGATCTCTGTAGGAGTGTCCTCCTCTATAAATGTCCCCGTTATTCCATCCTCCTCCATAGACTGCTGATCATCCCTCACATACGCCTCTTCTTCTTCTGCTTTCACCTCAAATTCTATATCGATTGGATCTCCACTCTAAATCAAGAAAATGAAAGAAAATATCATCTGTAAAATATAGGTTTTATTATTGTGACATCACATAAAAAAACCTCAGAGTGTCTCTACAAGTCAATGTTCTAGATTCTCCATCCCACCAACCTTGTAATGGTGAGGGATGGTGTGACCTTCCTGTGTGGAATCCCGGGAATACAGAGGACGGGGACATCTCTCTGGTGGGTTCCTGGTATTAGGTGGCTCCATCATATCCTTGTGTCCTTCTGAAAACTCCTCCATCACTCCATACTCCTCATCCTCCTCTTTATACTCTTCTTTAACATCAATATTATCATCCCCGAGGATTCCACTCTGAAAGATATAATAAAACATTCATTGTAACAAACATGCTGTGTATAAATCACAACTACCAATAATTGTCATCATCTACCTGATGATGGTGAGGGATGGTGTGACCTTCCTGTGTGGAATCCCGGAATACAGAGGAACGGGGACATCTCTCTGGTGGGTTCCCATGACTGGATCCATCTGTAGGAAACACACACACTGACTGAATCCATTGTTTCTATGTGTTTATCAGATGATGGGGATCTAGGTGGATCCTCCGTACTGCTCTCTCCTTTACAATAAAGTCTCCTCTTACCCGGTGATGTGAGGGGCGGCTGATTGTCCATCATGACGTCCTTGTAGAGATCCTTGTGTCCTTCTAAATACTCCCACTCCTCCATGGAGAAATAGACAGTGACACCCTGACACCTTATAGGAACCTGACACACACAATGATACAGTCACCATCCAGACACATTCCCTTGTCTGTTACTGGAGAATGTCCCAGAATTCCCCGGCACCGCTCACCTCTCCTGTCAGCAGCTCAGTGATCTCTCTGGTGACTTCTAGAATCTTCTTCTTCTTTTCTCTCTTCTATCAGGGAGGGAGGTGGAGGCAATGTGATGTCATATGATCTCCAGACTTCACAGGAGGGAAAACTCTACATCTGAACACAAATAGTCACATCAAATGATATTCCCAGAATCCTCCTCACCTCTCCATTCAGGTCTCCATTTTATTAAAGCCCCACTTCAGGCTGAGGTATAATTTCCCCCCACAGGACCCCCACACTACGCAGGGTATATAGGCTTGGTTTGCAGCATTCTGATGTCATTACATACAACGCAGGACCAACAGTCCCACTTTACATGTGAGGGATCAACCAAGGGGCCCCACATCCTAAGAGCATCAGAAAAAAGCCAGATGGCAGGGACATTGGAGGAGGAGCTGTGAGGTCAGTGTGATGTCATAGGATTCTCTAACTCCGGATGGAGGGTCATTGGGAGGGAGGAGCTTTGAGGTCAGTTTGATGTCATAGGATTCTCTGACTCCGGATGGAGGGACATTGGGAGGAGGAGCTGTGAGGTCAGTGTGATGTCATAGGAATTCTGTGACTCCAGATGGGGAGACATTGGGAGGAGGAGCTGTGAGGTCAGTGTGATGTCATAGGATTCTCTGACTCTGGATGGAGGGACATTGGGAGGAGGCGCTGTGAGGTCAGTGTGATGTCATAGGATTCTCTGACTTTGGATGGAAGGACATTGGGAGGAGGAGGTGCTGTGAGGTCAGTGTGATGTCATAGAAACATATAGACTCTGGATGGAGGGACATTTGGATGGGGAGATTTGAGGGGTCCTCTATATGAGGCTCCTTTGTAAACCAAATCCTTGTTCCTGGGTGCGTCCTACCTCTCCTAAAACTGAAGAGTGACCTTTGACCTTTACCATCCAGAAAAATCTGTCCGGAATCTGTGGAAGTAAGCTGTCATGTGATCAGGTGACGTGCGGAGGAACGGAGAGTGTAAATAGCAGACAATTGTCTCCAGAACTCCTAATGGTGGGGATGAAAGCAGAAAAAAATGGCATTTCCTTTCTGTGTTCATCTGCAGTAAAGTTCCATATTATATAGCCCTAGTAGAATCGTTTTCTTTAAATGTTCCTTCATGAACACAGTTAAGATGGATGAACTCCTAGGAATTGAATATTGGACAATAATGAATACAGAGGAAACGGGATAATCACTTACATATCAGCCTAACAGGATGTAATGAAATATATCTCTCTTTACATTTCAGTGACGGTGCCATAATATATGCATAGTGGGTGTAAACCTTCCTGGATTAACCAACATAGATGGAAATGGTCTCCTCCTCCCATGCCCGCCTCCAGGACTTCTCCAGGGTGTCACCCATCCTCTGGAACTCCCTGCCCCCAACCCATCAGATTATCACCTACTCACCTCTCCTTTAGGCGCACCCTGAAAACCACCTCTTCAGGGAAGCCTACCCCACCCCCACCCCCCCTGCTAACTTGCCGACCTCCGCTCCACTCTTCCTACCACTCCATCCCCCACAGCTATCTCCTCCTGTGCCACCATCCCCTCCCTCCTAGATTGTAAGCTCGAAAGAGCAGGACCCTCAATCCCCTCATGTTTTTCATTGTATTGGTATTGTTCTGTCACATGTTCTGTCCCCCTTTGTAATGTACAGCGCTGAGCGAACTATTGGCGCTTTATAAATACTGTATAATAATAATAATGAATCCACAGTAACAAGTGACGTAAAAGTGAATACATGTTACATGATGAGAAATAAATACCAGTAGTGCTGGGGTGCCATGAAATAAATTAATGTGAATTACCATAAGGGAGGTCAGAAAAAACATTCTCCTCACTGGAGATGTGAAAACAAACCCCATGTGTTACGGGTAAAGAGCAGTTACCATGGATATTCCAATAAATATATTCAAACATCAATGATTCCTTTTCTAAACGCCCCTCTAGGGGTTCCAAAAAATTACTCTTTTTCTTTGATTTTAATAAGATTGCAACATGTTCACCCTATCAATGTCAGCCTTTTTTTCATGATCTAAGTGATCGAATAAAATATAAATATTGCATATACTTTTGTAGTGTATAGTTACTCCGCATAGGATTTAATGAACCACTTTACAGGCGGTTTTGCACTAGCCAACTGCCATTTTTTTTGTGTTTCCATCCCCACCATTAGGAGTTCTGAAGACAATTGTCATTATTTGTGTTTCCAGTATTTTTAGGTTTATAATCCACACTTTTGTTTAACCTCCTTAGCGGTATTCCCGAGTGTAGCTCGGGGTAAAATTTCAGTACTAAGATCGGTAACCCCCGAGCTACATTCGGGCTTACCATGCGGCGTTCTCTCCGGGGGTCCCTGTAGCACTTACCTTGTCCTTCGCTCCCACGATGTGTCCCCTGCAGCGTCCCCAGTCCATCTCCTCCGGCCGATGCCGGCTTCCGTGTTCCGGTCCCCATGTGACGTCGGGACGTAACGTGCGCCGGAACGGCGGGAAAAAATTGAAATTTTTTTAAAAATTTTCATTTTTGCTGTCATTGCTGTTTCAAACCATTTCACATACATTTTGTCCCGAGTGCTTTGTCCGGCGCCCTGCCTGCATTTTGACTGTTCTTTCTGCCTGGAAAACTTTAGAAAAGTCCATGGCGTCCAAAAAGCATCCCTTTTAACGTCAAAAGCGGTTTTAGACCGGCTAGAGAACAGCGATAGTAAATCAGAACCACTTGCAGAATGAGTGATAATAGATTCGTGGGGGCGGGAAATTCCTCATCAGACACTGAAAACGATTTTGCGACTTTGCTCAGCGATGTGCGAACCTTGCCTCTGTATTTCACATTTCAGTGTTTTTGGTGTTTGATTATATTATTTGAATTAAATGTATTATTATTATAATTATTATTTTTTATGATTATTTAAAATGATTTAAATTATAATTTTATGATTTCGTGTTTCAAATTTTAACATACCCGGGATGTTGTTGTACTAGACTCTTGTTCGGACAGATTTCAGTGAGTTATTCCTAAATTACAGCCTACAATAAAAAACTACATATTTCCATGCAAAATAATGGTACCGCTTTCAGAACAAAAAATCTGAAATAATCAGACCGCCAGGGAGGTTAAGTGAGTCGGAGATACTATTAAGAAAACAGTTTACTGTATCAATGTGGATGGCCACTTTTTCTCACTTATTATGGGGATGGATTTGGCGGCGTGCTGGTGCCAAGTTTCCCTCCCCCCAGGGTCACTGCAGGTGTGGAGAAAAGCTGTGTAAGAGGATATGGAGGAGAGATGAGGAGGAGATCCAGGAATCAGGAGAAAGGTCAGGGCAAGCAACAGACGAGCGCATCCAAGAGACCAAGCCGGGGGTCACTACACAGAAAATCAATCCAAGGAAACAACAGGCAGGACGAGGAATAGCAAGAAGGAGCTGAGAGACAAATGAGAATATTGCTCAGCCAATGGGAGATGATCTCAGCATGACTTCCATCATGAAAGGAGATGAGGGGGAGGGGAGGAAGTCACTGAAGGTGACCATAGATCCATGGAAATTCAGCTGGTTCAGCAGGGATCGCTCACATTTCCATCCATGTGTGGCCACTGCCGGATAAAAGCCACTCCCCCAGCGGCTGCAGCCAATAGCTTCAGTGCTGATCTGTGTATTCTGAGAGTGGAGAGGAGTCCCCCCATTGTCAGAATACAAGAGTGCAGCGGGGAGGATTCCCCCATCCACCTCCATATATATTATCATCAACTCCCTCCCCCTGAAGGGGTTAATCTGGGTTCCCACACTATATATGTGTGTATCATCATCTGCTGGACATAAAAGACGTCACAGTGACTATGGAGGAAGAGGACGGGACGTGACTGTGGAGGAAGAGGACGGAGACGGACGTGACTGTGGAGGAAGAGGACGGACGGACGTGACTGTGGAGGAAGAGGACGGACGGACGTGACTGTGGAGGAAGAGAACGGACGGACGTGACTGTGGAGGAAGAGGACGGACGTGGAAGTGACATGTGGAGGAAGAGGACGGGACGTGACTGTGGAGGAAGAGGTTGCGGACGTGACTGTGGAGAAGAGGACGGACGTGACTATGGAGGAAGAGGACGGACGTGACTATGGAGGAAGAGGACGGACGTGACTGTGGAGGAAGAGGACGGACGTGGACTGTGGAGGAAGAGGACGGACGTGACTGTGGAGGAAGAGGAACGGACGTGACTGTGGAGGAAGAGGACGGACGTGACTATGGAGGAAGAGGACAGACGTGGACTATGGAGGAAGAGGACGGACGTGTGCCTTGCCTATGGAGGAAGAGGACGGACGTGACTATGGAGGAAGAGGACGGACGTGACTATGAGGAGGAAAAGGACGGACATGACGGGGGGTTACTGGGTTGTAAATAGGAAATAACATCTTATTACTAAAAAGGTTGTGTGAACCACAATGGGGCCTCAGGGTAGGATTTCTGCTGCTGTTCCTATTTTTAGAGAAATGAAGTGCACATGCAGGCCGGACAATGATCACACTGACAAATGTGCAGTATAACCACGTCCTCATCTGTTTATTGCAGGGTGGTGCCTAACCTTTTATACATAGAGAAAGTAGGGTATACGTATGGACATATTATGTAAATAGTCACATTCT